ATACTCCTATGTTCCACCTTGGATTGTTTTACTATGTTAATTGCAAATTGATGTTGGTCTATCCAAATTTGATTGTTTCTTGTGCAGCAATTACCAACCACTCTCATTTATTTTCTTGCGGCCTGCCCTCAGACTCCCCAATCATTTTCCCCTTTCAGAAAGTTAGCAAATGCATTGTGGTAGATCTGTTAATTCTGACGCACTGTGAAGTTCTGGGAGCAGCGGGGAAGGTGGGAAAAGGCGTGAATGCAGAATACCCTGTCTTTTCCTTTTGAAAATGTTCAGTTCATCAATGCCAGTACACAAGGTTTCAGACTAAAGATAAAATATTTTGAGGCTTAGACCGAGCTCTTGTTTGTTTCTTCTCAGGTGTCTGCAAAATGTTTGAAGAACATTTAAAGAGAATGAACCCAAACAGTCCGTCTATCACGTATGACATAAGCCAACTCTTTGACTTCATCGATGACCTTGCTGACCTCAGCTGCCTCGTGTAAGTGCAATTGCTCTTACTTCACCTGACCTTGATATCTTAACCAAAATCTATCAATTTCTGATTTGAAACTTTTACGTGACTGCCTCAACCTGAGCAGATTTTTGAGGGAGAATCCCAGATTTCCATTACTCTTTGTGTGAAGTTATTCCTGACATCATCTCTGATCATTCTAGTTCTAATTTGTGCATGTCTGCCAGTGTTCACAGCTCCCTGGATGTTTGCCAGTATTGACACTAGCCAAGGGATCCTGTTTTAACTTGTTTTATGAATCTTAGAATACAGGAGGAGACCACTTGGATTGTTGTGCTGTGCCAGCACTTTGAATGAGCTGTGCAATTAGACCCACCCTGAAATATTATTAAGCACCCAAACCATAATGGCATTATCATTACAGAAAATATTTTTATTTTAATTTAAAACAACAAATTATTTTCTCGTAAACCAGCATTTTAATTGTGCGTGACAGCATGGCATAGTGGTCCAGTGTTTAGCACTGCTGCGTCACAGTGCCAGGGACCTGTATTCGATTCTATCCTTGGGTGACTGAATGTGTGGAGTTTGCACATTCACCCGGTTTCCTCTGGGTGCTCCAGTTTCCAACCACAGTCCAAAGATGTGCAGGTTAGGGTGGCTTGGCCATAGAAAATGTAGGGTTACAGGAATAGGGTAGAGTGGTGGGTCTGGCTGGGATGGTCTTTGCAGGCTCGGTGTAGACTCGATACGTTGAAAGGCTTGCTTCAGTACTATAGGGATTCTATGGCCTGTAAATCCAGATGTGCTTGAATCTGACTACCTCAGATGTCAGACCAGTTTTAAATGTAAACCTGGTTCACACTTTTCAGCGTAATAATGAAGTGATGCTGCAGTGGTCATGTCACTTGACAAGTAATCTACACTCCCTCTAAATATTTTCTCTACAGTGAAGATTTCAAAGATCTGTGCTGAGTTGCAGCTTCCCATGAGTAGAAGGCAGTGTGCTGGCCAACGTTGAGTGGCTGCACAGCTACACAGTTTAGAGTGAATTCTGCTAGTAATGCAAAAGCCCTTGGACATGGGTTTAAAAACTCACCACGGAAGTTTATGGAATTTAAAATCAATTAATAAATCTGGAATATAAAGCTAGTCTCAATACCTTCAGTTGTTGCAAAAACTCATCTGGTTCACTAGTGTCCTTTAGGGAAGGGATTTTTATTCTCTTGTGAGATTGGGCGTTGCTGGTTGGCCCAGCATTTATTGCCCATCCCTAGTTGCCCCTTGAGAAGATGGGGATGAGCTGCTGCCTTGAACTGCAGCAGTTCAATGTGCTGTACGTTGACCCACAATGCCCTTATGGAGGGAATTTCAAGATTTTGACCCAGTGACAGTGAAGGAACTGCGCTGTATTTCCAGGTCGGATAGTCAGTGGCTTGGAGGCGAACTTGTAGATGGTGGCGTTCCTATGTATCTGCTGCCTTTATCCTTCCAGATGTAAGTGGTTGTGTGTTTGGAAGATGCCAAGGATCTTTGGTGAATTTCTGCACTCAGCTTGTAAGTAGCATACAGGTCATCTACCATCCTTACCTGGTCTGGCCTACAATGTGTGACACTCAATCTAGTTGACTCTTAACTACCCTCTGAAATGGCTGAGCAAGTCACACTGCTCAAGGGCACCTAGAGATGGACAACAATAGCTTTACCAGTGATGTCCAAAACTCTAAGAAGGAGTGAAGGAAAAATATCCTTTGCAATAAACAAGGAGCAAAAATGCTTTTTTTTTATTCATTCGGGATGAGTGTCACTTGCTAGTCCAGCATTTTTATTGCCCACTCTTAATTGTCCAGAGTCAACCACATTGGAGTCAAGGTGTAAGCCAGAATAGGTAAGGATGGCAATTTTCCTTCCCTAAAGGGCATTCGTGAGTCAGATGGGTTTTTCCAACAATTGACAATGGATTCATGGTCATCAATAGATTCTTAATTCCAGACTTTTCACTGAATTCAAATTCAACCATCTGCTGTAGCAGAATTCAAACCTGGGTCCCCAGAACTTAGCTGAGTTTCTGGGTTAATAGGTTTAGCGATAATGTTTGCAAGCCAGTGTTTGCAAAATGGGTGCTGCTGACTGTTGGAGAAGGTTGTAACATGAATATCAAAACACTGGAGCCATTTGGTTTTATAAGCTGCAGGGGTCTGTTTGGTATTGAATGATGAAGTGATTAGACAATCCTATTATTCTGTTTCTCCAGATATCGAGCAGACACACAGACTTACCAACCTTACAACAAGGATTGGCTCAAGGAGAAGATCTACATCCTGCTTCGCCGACAAGCCCAGCAAGCAGGAAAGTAACTGCTGTCCTGGCTCAGCAGATCAGTGCTCTACAAGGAGAATGATTGATTGCACCAATTTTCTTTTTTTAGCTCACAGATGTTCCTCTTCAGATCTTTGGAGCACTTGAGTGTGCTGCTTGTAGATCTCAGTATTTTTTGTAGAAATAATTTGATTCTCACCCCACCTCACCCCAAGCCCATTAGAAAGCTTGCTCCTTTTTATTAAATCATGCATTGGTGTTTTAAAACAGAAGCCACATTGAATGGAATGTAAGGACCAACCTTGCCCTTACAGCCATCTTGCATTCAGACACTGATTGGGAACAAACCTGACTACTTTTGTCATGCATAATACTGTCACTAGGCTCCTGTTCAAACCTAACATTGTCTTAGAAGAGTGGTTTCACCAACACTCTTTGCAATCTGTACATTTTATAGAGCAGTGAGGACCGAACAGACTGTCTCAGAAGAAAAGCTCTTTTGGGTTAAACGCTTTTCTAGAAAGTTAATCTTCTTGTCTGATGTGTTGTTTCTGCAGAGCTGTTTCTGTAGGATCAAAGTTCTGGTTACCCAGTAGGTTTTTTTTGCTTCAGGTTATGGTTTTTGCAGATTAAATTTTTGTTTTAATATGAAAACTGCTTTGTTTATATATTCATTTACATATTTGCTGTTTGACTTTGCCTGCATCAAGTGGCTGCTTCGTCAGAGCCAAATAATCCACTCCTTTGTATCACATTGTTTTACGGGTTCGAAAAAATTGTACTTTCAGGTGTGCCTCCTGCACGCTTAAGCCAGGCAACTTGTTAAATGTACTTGGTGTTCACTAGAGACAGAATCTGGTTGAGAAGTCAATTTTAGGGTGAAAAGAATGCTTTGCATTAGAAATGATAATCACTGGAGTAGGAGAATTAAGGAAGTTAATGAGTGATAGAGCATTATTACGTGTAAATCTGGCTGCTTTTTGGGAGAAGATTGTGACTGAAGTTCAGGAAAATCTCCAGTACCACATTTGAGAATGTTCTGGATTGAGACTTCAGCCCACATCACAGGTATAAATGTGCTTAGCTATCAGCTAAGGGGAGGATCACGTTCCTTTTTTTAAAATCACCTGCTTGCAGTCACTGCCAGGAGTCATAATTGAGTAAACTGCATGCTCTAAACTCTTCCCAGAAAATCTGAAATGGCCTTGAGCTTTGTTACTTCCAAAGCAACACTAAGCAGTTAGTTATTGCTAACTTGAGCAGGACAGAGCAACGTTACCATTTTGGAGGTGTACCAGTGTGGCAGCAAATTCACGGGAATATGGAACTTTAATCAATAGCTTCAAACAACAAAGCTGTTTAAACTTGCCAATCGATACATAACAGCCTGTTACTTCCTTTCACCTGCAATCTCAATACTGTCCTGTATAATATACCCTCTGACTATATATTAGTCATGTTTTCTGGTTTTAGACCTGGCTAATAAGGTTTGCAGAGGTCAAGAAATTTGTGTTCCTTAGCGGGATTTAAAAAAGAACAAGGTGCACCCTTTCATATCCCCTAAATGTTTGTACATACTGCTTATGCCCAAAGCCAAAACAGAACTCTCAACAGTCAACATCGCATTTATTGAAACAATCCTGCATATTTGTAAAGCAAGTTAACGCCACAGGACCTTGTGTTTACAGCATTGGTGGGTTTTCACTTAATTGTTTAACAGATTTCTATCCTGCACACAAAGTCCCCAGTCAATGAAACTGAAATACTTCGTGCTGCTGAATTACAGGGGCAGCACACTGTTCTGAGGAGGATTTGAGGTAATTGGATCAAAGAGAATATCTCCATTCTGTTCCTCCATTTACCAGCTTCTCCATCAGAAATGCATTAACACTTGCATATGCAGTGTTTGCGAAAATATCATATACAAATGAAACTGCATTTCAGGCAAAAGTAAAAATACATCCATTCCTACTTTAATTTCTAGTAATCTATGAACTCCCTTTTGGATTTGTATCATAAGGAAAATATACAGCAATGTACAATGAAAAACATAACTCATATGAAAAGAAAAACCTGTTCCATTTTATATCTTCCAGGTTATGATAAAGTGTGAAACAAAGTCTAAGTTTAGGCTTTTTATCCCCAAAAAAAAGATTTGGAAGAATTTGTGAGGGAATACCACATTGCTCATCTCCCCTGTCAAACTAAAATAATGTTCTGATGCATTTTGGAGCCAGAGTCTTCTTTTTTGCGTTCATTTTAAAAGACTGTCCACATGTTATTATAAACTGAAAAAAGTGAAACAGAACAACTGAAATAGTTGCTCTGCTGTTTAATGCATTTCTCTTCTCAAAGTCCATTCAACAAGTAAAATCCACATATTAGTCTGGTGTAGACTAATGGGATACAAATCTATTGTGGTTGTAGGCACAACTTACAGATAATATGGGGCCTGTAACGTACATCTTGCCAAGATACAGAATGTTATCAGGCCCTAGAGTTGTACACACCAGTATTCAACTTGTCCCTTGGTAATGAAGGCCAATATCTGCTGAATATTTATGAAACATACTGGTTTTATCAACTTTTGTGTCTGGCATTCTAACTTTTTTTGAATTGAATGGATTTTGGGACTGTTGAATTCTTAGGTTGCCAGGCTATGGCATAGAGCAATCTGAAAGATTCTGTAGCCTCACAGGTGACATGAACAGGGCTGAGGAAACACTAAGACAATTTCAGTAGCAGGCATTTGGAAGCTCAAACATATATGTTACTTTCAATCTGAAGTACATGCTCCCTCCCATAAATTGAAAAAGAAATTCTCCTTGGAGAAAATTCTGTCCCCACTTTGTTAAAATATTTCTTACAGTAATATGATTACAAAGAAATTTATAATTTTGTTAACTGCGATCTTCCCCAAATGAAAATTAATGACACATTGGTTTTCAGCTGGCTGAATGATGAGTCTTTCCTGCAGGTATACCCAATGCTAGCATATAAAGTTTGATGCCTTTCAGGTCCAGCCACCTTAAAAAATAGTCCATGTAAATCCTACCTAGAGATTTGACATAAAGACATCTGTGATTGTCCTCAGTTTAAAAATCACCTGCTGTTCCTGCCTGAAGTGACTCATGTTGACCAGAATTTTGGGGCTAAGAGGGCATAGGCTCTCGCTGGCCCAGCATTCCTGCTTAAAACAGCTAAAACATACTGCAAAAATCTTTCTTAATACAGTATAAAATATAAGACTGCAGCAATTATACTTACATTGCTACAGGCAGTGAAAAAAAATCACCATTGTTAAAAATGCAAACCAAGAGGATTAAAAGCATTAACCATTTCAGGGCAAGGCAACAACTGAAATTCTGCACTTACCCTCAGCACCTCGGAGTGGGAGAATTAACAGTTTTGGCTGTTATGCATGCTCACTATTTAGTCATTCCTGCTGGAACACATACTCTGAACACCTGACAGTGTTACAGCAATGAGATGAGTGTCTTCAAAGTAACATGATCCAGCTTTCTTGCCCTGCACTGCTGAGCAGGTACCTGCCAAATGAAGCCCAGACCCTTTTCTCAAAAGAGAGACTTGCTCCTGAACAAACTTGTGCATCTCCTAGTGGCACTGGGCACAGAGTTTAACAGGTAGTTTCCACAGCCCTTCCTCTTGTGGTTGCCTTTATTGCACATGTGCTGATGGAGACCAGAGAGGAGAAGCAAAGGGAACTTATCCTCAATTAAAAGGAGGGGAAAACAAGCTTCGTTGAGAGGCACGGTGCTTGAATGGAAAATCAGGCCCTTTTCCTCCAGCAGGGGCGAGGAGCTTAGGACAAGAAAGGTCCCAGGCTGAGCCACTTGTTTTCTCTTTCAGCTGGTTACAAACACTGATCAAAACTTACCAGTAACTCAGCTACTTACCTGCCCTGTGCAGATCTCAACTCAAGGGAGACAAAGATAAGCCTTTTTATATCACATGGTTACAGCTTTGACACTGCACAGGGTAGCAGTCAATGTGCAGTTTACCTACTCCAAACTGACTTCCCTACTTGTCTTTCAGTTCCAATGGAATTTGAAGATGCTGATTGATTAAGATTGCCTGTTTATAAACTGTTCATGGAGTTAGCTTCTGCTGTAATGCACTATGTTAACATCACTTTAATCATTTTCCATTTCATTTTGGGAGAAGGAATTTCTTTCCTTTAACCTCCACTTTTGCCTGTTTTGATGTGCTCCAGGCCTCTACTGTTTTGCTGATTCTATTTCAGTGAATTTTACTTTAGAATCCAACACACCCCCAGTTTCTAACTATCCATCAGTTGGTTCATAGGGCAACACAGAACATCCTTTATCTCGACAAGGTTATAATGAGATGTGGTTAACTGCAATTATTATAAGTACGATGGCACAGATCTGACACCGCAGGTAACAGGCTTTCTCCATCCCATCAGCAAATCATATAGATTACACTAAGAAATAAGTCAGGACCTGTTTTCATTTTGAAGACTGCAGTCCAATGTAAAATTTTTAAAAAACTCATCATCCTCATCTACAGGCTCCAGCATGTTTCCATGCATTAGGCTAACAAGATGTCCCACGTAGTAATAGGCATCCCTGCCCCACCTTTGGACAAACCAAACCAAAATACCTAGGATCAGATATTTACAGCATGAGAGTGTGTGGCTCAGTGTTGTGCCAGCTGTTCTGAACAACTGGAAACTCAGGCCACTGTTCTCCCCCTATTCCCTTCTACTATTCTTGCTAATTGCTAGATGCTGGTAATGTCTTTATGATGTGGTAATGTTTGAAATATTGTTGGAGGTGAAGACCAGGACTGTCTCCTCTGGTTCCTGCTTTGGCTCAGCTTTCAAACGTATCCTCGATCGTTTCATCTCTGCCTGTCTTTCCTGCTCCTCCTGCTGCCTGTGGCATTTCATGTGAGCATTTCGACTTTTCACTTTATCAAACACTCTGAAATATACATGTGCATGATAATGATCAATATCTGTGATATGATGGGCTAATTAGTTTGTACACTGATTATTATGGTTACTTGCCTCCATAAATGATAAAAGCTCTGCTGTTCAGGTGTACCCCAGAAATTTGTGGGAAGCTAAGGAAGTGATTGCTGGGCCTCTCACAGATATAAATATCATCGACAGCCACAGGTGAGGTGCCAGAAGTTGACTAACATGGTACCATTATTTAAGAAACGTGGTAAGGAAAAGCCAGGGAACGACTGGCTGGTGAGCCTGACATCAATGATGGGCAAGTTGTCAAAAGGGATTCTGAGAGACAGGATTTACATGTATTTGGAAAGGCAAGGACTGATTAGGGATAGTCAACGTGGCTTTGTGCGTGGGAAATCGTGTCTCACGAATTTGATTGAGTTTTTTGAGGAAATGACGAAGACGATTGATGAAGGTACAGCAGTGAACATAATCTATATGGACTTCAGTAAGGCGATCGCCAAGGTTCTACATGGTAGACTGGTTAGCAAGGTTAGATCACATAGAATTCAGGGAGAACTAGCCATTTGGATACAGAACTGGCTTGAAGGTAGGAGACAGAGGGTGGTGGTAGACAGTTGCTTTTCGGACTGGAGACCTGTGACCAGCGGTGTGCCACAAGAATCAGTGCTGGGCCACTGCTTTTTGTCATTTATATCGCTAATTTGGATGTGAATATAGGAGGTATGGTTAGTAAGTTTGCAGATGACCCCAAAATTGGTGGTGTAGGGGACAGCCAAGAAGGTTACCTTAGAGTACAACGGGCCCTTGATCAGATGGGCCGAGGAGTGGCAGATCGAATTTAATTTACATAAATGTGAGGTGCTGTATTTTGGTAAGGCAAATCAGGGCAGATTATTTACACTTAATGGTAAGATCCTGGGGAGTGCTGCCAAGCCAAAAGACCTTGGAGTGCAGGTTCATAGTTCCTTGAAAGTGCAATCACAGGTAGACAGGATCATAAGCGCAGTGATTGGTACACCAGTACAATTACAACATTTAAAAGGCATCTGGATGCGTACATGAATAGGAAAAGTTTAGAGGGATATGATCCAAATGCTGGCAAATGGGACTAGATGAACGAGTTCGACCAAAGGGTCTGTTTTCATACTGTACATCTCTGTGACTCTATGATAAAAAGAGAAGCTGAAAGTGGCATGACACTACAAGATCCCGTCACAGCCAGATGCTGATCACACAGTAATCTTCAAGAATGTTCTTTCATAGACAGAAGTTATACCCAGTTCTAAAAAGAAATGCCCGTAGAAGAGTCAGTCATGGCTGAAAGCTGCAGTAGTTCTTCACTCTGTAAAACTTGAAGAGTTGACTAAACATCTTCACAAAAGTCCCTCTGAACATCAACTCATAGCATGCAGAACCTAAAATCCTCTTGCTTTATTTCAAAAAGGGTAAGGTTACCAGAGTGGATATCCACAACCTCAAACAAGGTCATGTTCTCTCACTGTAGGAGACGGTGAATTGGCAGCCATGTTGCCAAGAACACCCAAATCTTTTCCTAAATGAGCCAAGGGTTTTTCATTTGTTTTATCCTCTCAGGAGAGTATGACTGTCGGTGGAGGGAAATGTGGTAGTCATGATTAGTTACAGCATGACTAATTTTTTTGTCCAATTACTCTACTGTGAAGAACCTGGGAAGGTTTTACTGTGTTAAAAGCACTCTTCAAGTCCAAGATGTTGTTTCTGTCTTGAATATATTCAAACAATCAAGTTGGTGTCTTCCTGTCCATCTTTTTAGACTTGCAGTTTCAACCACAAAAGGAGCAGAAAAGTGAGAAATGCACTTGAAGATTTACAGACCAGGAAGGAGAGGGGCTGATTGGAAAAGTGGAGTCATATAAACTTCCTGAGAACATTCTAAACAGAAGGCTACCTGTGGCTTCAGAGTCAAAAGTAGAACTCAAAACTCCTTGGTACTCACCTAAGGATGTAGAGGAACATTATATGGCTCAGATCTTCCAGCAGGACCACAGTCATTGCAGCAGTGTAGATAGGAGTTGTACATCGGGACCTATTGGAAACTGAAACCTCTGATGCGCAATTACCTGGCATCTGGAACTCTCACGAAAAAAGTCTCCCTCCCAAGAGTCAGAGACTTCAGATGGATTCAACATACCTGGCTTAATAGTTACCCAGGAAAGTTCGTGAGATTGAAATCTACTCTAACTGATCCCTGGAGCCCTTCCCAACACCCGTGATCCAAATGTGGCCAGTCCTAAAAACTCCCTCCCCCACCAAAAGTTAACTCTCGTCACCTAAATCTCCGACTCCTCCTGAAATTGACTACTCTTCTCACTCCTAAGCTTTCATCCACTGTTTTACCACAACCTGCCACCTGCATCTCACCCACACTTATTCTCTCTAATATTTAATGTTATTGAAAGATTTCTAAAATAAAGAATTGACTATATTCTGAATGATTAAATAAAAGATAGTAAATCTTTTGACACATATGTAAAATTCATTATGCTTACAATTAATTTATATAAATAGCATTAATTGTTTAAAAGAAGCAGAAAATATTGCAATCTACATAATACCTACAAAGTTCCAATACACTTACCTTACAATGTTTACTGCTGTCCTTAAGGGTGTTCCCAGGTGCTCTGCAACGAGGCGAGCATTGCTTTACTGCCCTTGTGCTGTGTCAAGGTTTTGACAGCAAGCTATGATCGAATCATCTGGGAACTGAAGATAATAAGGGGGCATCTTTTGCTGTGATTACTGCCAGATGGATCTGTTCTGACAGTAATTGGAAATTCTTGTTAAGTATCTCATTACTTTTGTGGGAATTTGCTGCACAGAAATCAGTTGCTGCAACTCCCTACATCGCAGCAGTCACTCTAATTCAAAAGCAATTAAAGTATAGTGGAGTGTTTTGTGTCAGCGAGGTGGTAGCAGGCTTTATATAAACAGAAGTTACTTCTTGTGCACCTCAATAGTGCTTAACCAGAAAAATCGTAACATTGCAATACGAGACTGAAATTTCCCCCAAACCCCACCATTCACAATCCAACCTACTTTGTGCATTCTTTACATGGAAAATTTCCCACGGTAAACTTTTTCTCATTCTTGTCTTGGGCTCCTGTCTGACAGTGAACTGACGGAGAGGGGCTAGGCTTAGACCGTACGATTTTCTTCTTTAGTTTTTCTCTGTTCATGCTTGTCTGGGAAGGAATGCTCATACTCTGAGAGGCTAAGAATGACTGATGGGTGGAAAGAAAAAGCAGAATTGAAAATATTTACCCACAGCTGTCTCTGAAAATATTACAACCAATGATTATATTTGCAGCTGCTGTTACTAAATGCCCAACCTGCATAGAAAATGAGTACAAGGATGCTGCAGTCCACCTAGTCAGTCTTAGAAACAATTTCCTTTCACATTGCCTAATACCTAAAGTATCTTTCAGATTCTCTCAGTATTCTCACATTACTTGCCCACTGTGTTTTTTGTGTTAGTTGTCCCTATCACTTTTTCATCATGCTTTGCCTAAAGTAGATTCATCAACTGTTTGTTCATATTCCCTCTCCTAACATACTCTTGAACAGATTGCAAACACCCTGCGTACAGCATATTATTCAAGGGACGTGGAGATCTAACAATGCCAGATTCCATCAGTACAGACAGAAGTCTCAACCTGTTGTTTATAAACTCCAACTCTGATGCAAAGCTTGAAAATCTGTAGACGAGTGGCTAGGCTGGGATGTAGAAACACTCAAATAATTCACCATCTTTCTGTTAACTCTACTGTCTTTCTTTTTGCTTGTTTCCCAACTATTAACTATCTTGCCCCTGTACAGCAGTCCCCTCTTTCTAGATTACAGTTCTTGTGACCATCCTTTTTATCCTTTCCAGTAGGATGATGGTTTCAGCCCAGTTCCTGTATAGCCTGTCCAAATAATACAACTGCTCACTCTGCTAGTACTTCATGAAATGGAACTCCTCTTTCCAACTTCACTACTTTAGCCATTCATCTTCCTAATCTATTTATCTCGATACTAAATTATACGTCGCTAGGGCAATGCTAAGATATGCTAGATGAATGTTCCTTTCTCTACTTTAGCTCCTGGTTACTGTAGGAGCTCCTAGCTCTTACTTACCTAGGTACTCATATGAGACCTCTTGCTTACACAACCCTATGTAGTTATGCCACCATTTCTTCCCCTCCTTTTCCAGTCACAACGATGTGTCCTAAACCTTGGCACTGGGCAGGCAACACAACCTTCAGAACACCTGGTCACAACAAAAGGAAAATGTACCTCTCCCCCAACTGTACTGTCTCCTCATACAACCTCATTCCTTTTCACTGCTCCCACTTCTATGGCCTCATGTACCATAGTTCTATGGTAAGCTCGTCATCCACTCTGCAAACTGCCTCATCCACACAGGCAGCAAAGGCCAAGTCACCTGTAGTACTGCTGTTGGGTTCCCCTTACCTGTCTGCATCTTGTCCCCTCACTAGCCTGAGCATAAATAGCACCATTTCTAACCAGCTTTTTTATTTCTTTTCCATCACTGGGACTGTCTGCCTCATGCTTTATCTTCTCTTCGTCAAGCAAGTGTGTTCGCTTCCACTCAAACTTTAGCTGTTTCTTCCAGGTGTAGTAATATTCGACACACTGTGCCACGGTCTTGTGTTTTATCTGTAAAACAGCAGGTCCCATGAAAGCAATAATCCTGTTCTGTCAGGGTTGATTTTCTGAGTGTGTGCTAATAGTAGGGAGTCTCATTTGGAGCAATAAACATACACACATTTTGTATCCAGAGCTCTAGAATTTCTTTCAAGTACAGAGTGAGGTGTCAATGGTTGCGGTCATTTGTAAAATCTGCTCTGTAACCTTTAGCAAGGGTGCATCCTATTACTCAGTGTTTAAATTATCCCTCTAAAAAGGGATCCCTCAGCAGGTTGAGTAGTCTTGCACTTGAATGAACATGGGCACCTGTAAGGTTTTAAACTGGCCTGGTGATTTTTTATATGGAATAGTTGTAATAATGTCTCAATGCATTGTCTGTCCTACATTGACCAGCTGTTCTGTCTCAATATTCACCGATGCTCCCAAATAGCAACATCTAATAGTTCCATTGACATGGAGGGGAGGCAATGGCCAAGTGGTAATATCACTAGGTTATTAATCCAGAGACTCAGCTAATGTTCTGGGGACCTACGCTTAAATCAAAGGAGATGGTGGAATTTGAATTGAGTCTAATGATGACCATTGTTGATTGTCAGGAAAAACCCATCTGGTTCACTAATGTCCTTCAGGGAAGGCAACAGCTGTCCTTACCCCGTCTGGCCTACATGTGACTCCAGACCCACAGCAATGATTGACTTGCAAATTAGGGACAGGAAATAAATACTGCCCTGGCCAGTGATGTCCACATCTCATGAATGAAAAACACTAATCACTCCTTGCAATGGCCTCTTTGTGAAATAGTAGTGTATGCTGTGATATCAGAGATGGTCACAGTCTCCTTCCTAACTCATTTCATTCAAGTTCCTTCAGGATAGTAAGCCAGGAAAGATTGATTTATGAAAAAGTTACAACTTGGAATGGGAATATGGAAAGATGAACTGGAAGGATTTCTATGTCCAAATCTTTTTTTTTTTGAATAGAGACTTTCATTCTCTGCGCTGGACTCAAATCCAAGTTGCACGAGTATAAAGCAACTCTTTGGATGGCATCAGCCAACTATCATTTTGAAACTTCACTTAAAATCCTAACAGCTGCAGTCTTTTTCTCTTATCACTAGGTGGTAGCAGCAAACTGCAGAATATAGCAGGAAATTCTAATTGGAACCTACAATCTAAAATTACAGTGGAACTTAATAATGCAATATTATTAATAATACACAACTACAGTTATTTAATCAACTACAGTTCTGTGAATGTTTTACCAAGGGTTCCTGAGATGTTTGACTACGAAACGTTCCTAGGCGGAGTTAATAATACATTTGACATTGGAGCCACTACATGCTGCTAACCAAAATATACAGTTTTGGCTGATTATCTACCATTAAACTCTTATAAATTCCACAGTGATATTATAAATAGATCAAACAATAGTAATATGCTGTCAGCGCTGGCTGATTAAATGCTTTCAAGTACTGGGTAATGCAATGCAGTCAGAGTAGGATTCTCTGCAAGTCCTGGAGTGTCTACCCGTCCAGGTCAACAGGATGAAAACTTCCTCTGTATATAAACTTCCCAGATCAAAACTACTTTGGACAGGACCCCAGTATTCAGTACTAATGAGGTCAAAATGGCAGTGTAATCTAGGAAACAAACAGGCTGATGGCATAGGCAATGTAAAACAAGCAGCATCCAGAACAGGGAGGCACCCTGCTCCATCAATTTACTGCCCAAAGTGAAGGTATGAATTGCTCACAACAAATTAAATATACTACATTTCACACAGGTTGAAGAATGGTACATCTTAATTGACTTCACACACTGGTTTTGTCATTTAATTATCTCTTACCATCTTCTGCATGAGAAAGAAATCCTTGTTGTAAAGGCAAATAGCTTTATTGAACAACTTTTTCTCTGCAGTAGTCCACTTCTCAGTACCTAAATTCAAAAGAACACACTGAAGAATTAACAATGTATCTGAAAAAAGTACAGGATGTGCTGGAATTACATCCCAGGCCATAAGGCACATGAAAGAGAAAACTCATTAAATTTCAGTAAAATATTCCATCAAGAAATGTTCACATGAAACAGTCTCTTTCAAATACTGACTGATTTGTTCTTTGCATCATTTTCTGGTCTCATCACATATCTCTTAAAGTCACTTTCATTTTTAGCTGTTTATTTCTGAAACATTCAAGATATATCTATTTCATCTTTGTAATAGCTTGGCTATTATTAATGACATTAGTGCTGAACTATGTCACTTGGCAGAATGGAAGAACGTCTCAACAAATGCAAGCAGAAAGCTCTCCCACTCACTGTCAGTCAAAAGAGGTGTATGGTTTCTAGATAACACGGTGTAGAGCTGGCACACAGAAGAAGGGTCTTTTCTGAAGAAGGGTCTAGGCCCGAAACGTCAGCCTTCCTGCTCCTCTGATGCTGCTTGGCCTGCTGTGTTCATCCAGCTCTACACCGTGTTATCTCAGATTCTCCAGCATCTGCAGTTCCTACTATCTCTGTATGGTTTCTAGGTTCATTTATTTGTTGATGATTGCCATAAGTTGCCAAAACGCATTGAAGTTCTGGCACACTGCTATGGAGTAATAGGATAACAGAGCTCCAAAACAAAGTGCTGAGGAGTGGTCGTAAAACACCTGTGCACAGTGACAAGTCGTGCTAAAATAACTTGCATTTCTATGGCTCCTTTCAGGACTGCAGGATGTCCCAAAGCACATTACAGCCAATGAAGTACTTTTATTTTTCAAGTGAAGTCACTGTTGAAATGCAAAAAATGAAGCAGCAAACATGCATCAAACAAGCCCCCACAATAATCTGTTTTGTGATATTGATAGAATGATCAATATTGGCCTAAACATTGGAATTCCAGCACACAGTGATATGGAACAATATAGCAATGGATCTCCAGCCCAACGGTCTTAGAAACAGTCTGTTTGCCATTTCCAGGGAATGTTTAAGTCACAAATTGAGGCTATAAATGAAGAAAGAGGAAACTGCTTAGAAACAAAGAAAGGGAGAGCAGAGGTGCTGCTCAGATCGAAATGGTCTCTTCCAATATAAAACAGGATGCTTGCTGGCAGACAGTAAGCTTATTTACTTTCCATTCTTATCTTTGCTATATTAAAAGTGAAAGATCCGTGACTAAACCCACTCAGTGGCAAATTAGCCAATCAAAAACAACAGAAAAGCCTGAGTTTTAATGCTCAATTTGTGCTGAAGGCTAGCGATGGAGAGAGAGAAAGAAAAAGAAAATCAGCCAATATTCCTACTTCTAACTACCCATCTGTATAGTACATATGGGGTATATGGATGTGGGGTATATGGATGTAGGGCAAGGTCAGATCTGAACTTTACCATCACAGCTCAATAACTACAAACAAGTAGGCACAGGCATGAAGGCCAACCATTTAGATGTGATAGCTAATTGTGCCTGTGCGTCGATTGAATCAGATTAAATTGAAATGGTTTATGATATTTTTAATCTTGGATGAATTAGTCTTGCACCCAACATTTAAATAGCTGATAGTAAAACTATCACTACAGTAATTACAGGTGCAACTCTTTTTCAACACTGCCCTTCTCACTATCCAAGGCCCCAAACAAACCTCTCTGGTGAAGTAGCAATTAACTTGTAGTTCTTTCAATCTACTGTATTCATTGCTCACAACGTGACCCCCTCTACAGTAGCAAGAACAAATGCAGACTGGGTTGCTCGTAATTTCAATAAATGATCTTGCTGTCATGCTAACATTTCTGTCCTCTGCCTGTTGCATTGTTCAAGCAAAGCTCAACGCAAACTGCAGGAACAGCACCTCATTTTCTGTTAAGGTACTTTACAATCTTCAGGACTTAACATGGTCTCACGTTCTTGATTCAATGAACTCTGTCCTCCATTTTGATTCTTTCATACTCCAAATCCCCAATTAAGTGTTTTGTTTGCATGGATTTGCTCTCAACAGAGCTGACCCATTTTCTATTATTAACACCCATCATTAATATCTACTCTATCTTTTTTTGACTACCATTACATTTCTCTTTGCCTTTTGCTCTGGGGCACCCATCCCATTTTTTCCACTATTTCAAAGGTGCTGCCAGACCTACTGAGTTTCTCCAGCACATTCTGTTTTTAAGTCTGTTGAAATGCTTCCCTTTCATTTATTAGCAGTCCAGAGGGAAATAAATTCTAGCCAGGTGCGGAGCTGAACATCAGAAAGCTCAAAAGTGAGAACTGAAAACTTAAGCAATGAAGACACCTCTTTTGTCCATGTATGGACTCTATTCCCAATCATAAGACCTGCTGACACATTTACAAATACATTTTCTTCCAACAAGTACTGATCTAATTTATTAATTGACACTGGCTTTCTGAAGTCAAGGTTTAAGGGCTTGCCATACATCAGCGCAAACTAGCTTGTCCAACCAGATGAGAATGGTTTTGATACTGGCCATGGCAGAGAGTTCAGTGCTGTAAACAATGGTGCCACTGAACCACCTGAACATTCAATCTATCTTGCACATAAGTGGCTGTGCTCTTACCAGTGTAGTGGTAATCTCCCAAGGGGTGACAAGAGTCTCGCCTTACACCTTTCATTAGTAACATATCCAGGGCGGCCTACAAAAACAAACATTAAGAGGAGCTGGAAATAAGATCAATCTGGATTAACACATTTGAATAAACTTGTTCTGAAGCTACTCTAAGAAGGTTAATGCACTTAAAATATCAGGTGAAGAAATTTGATATAAAAGTCTGACATGTTATTTCCAAGCTGTCATTCCTGAATGTAACAGAATTCTAAATCCACACATTTTGTTGTGTAATACAGAGCAGGGGCTTTATTGTGATTTTAAGCAAACTGCAATAGGAATTAGTCTCAGACAGTCTGGACTACAGTTGGCTGAGTCCACCTAACCTGCACATCTTTGGATTGTTGAAGGCACCACAGCACCCAGCAAAAAATACATGCAGACACGGTGAGAACATGCCTAAAGACACACACTCCCCAGCCAAGAAGCCAGAGGGGATAAGTGGGTGCTGAGAGGTTGCTGTGGAATCAGTAGGCAATCCAGGGAGAGAAAGGCATCTATAACTAGGTGTCATATGATTTCTGACTTTGTCCACCCCAGTCCAACACCGGCACCTCCACATCACCAGAATTGGCAAGTAACAGTATCAGTGTATTAACATTTGTGTCCAGTTACAATGTACCTAGATTGATTATTTCTAACAGATATTTCTATTGTACCTCCTTTATCCCTTAGTTGTCCTAACTCTATTTTGACTGACCACAAACTATTAAAACGCGCTTATGAGAAAGTAATATCATGCGATATGTTTACTCCTCTGCCTGCCAGACTTCTAGGAACACAGGAAATAGGTGTAAGCCATTTAGCCCATCAAACTCTCTCCACTATTCAAACAGATCATGGCTGATCATCTATCTCTATCACATTCTTCCCCCATTATTGTCAAATCACTTGATGATATTAGTATCCATGAATCTAGAGACTTCAACCTTAAATATGCTCAATTATTGAGTTTCCATAATTCTCAGAGATAGCAGCAAGGTGACAAAGTCGTTAAGTGCTGCCGCTTCACAGCGCCAGGGACCTGGGTTCAATTCCGGCCACAGGTGACTGTCTGTGTGGAGTTTGAACATTCTCCCCATGCCTGCGCAGGTTTCCAACGGGTGCTCCGGTTTCATTCCACAGTCCAAAAATGTGCAGCTTAGGTGGATTGGCCATGTAAATTGCCCTATAGTGCCCTGGGATGTGCAGGCTAGGTGGATTGGGGAGAGATGTGAGCCTAGTTGGAATACTCTTTGGTGGGTTATTGCAGACTTAATGGGCCGAATAGCCTTTAGCTGCACTGTATAGATTCCTTGAGAATTCCAAATATTCAAACACCCTCAGACTTAAATGCCGTGTCTCTTCTTCTGAGACTGCCCGCATCGCCCTCTCCAGCTAAGGAAAGTATCCCACCTATTACATCCACCGTCACACCTTGCAAGAATTCTGCTAGTTTAAATAACATTACCATTTGTTCTTTGAAACTCTAGAGAATACAGATCCAAGGTCTTCAGTATTGCGCTGTAAATCAGGTTATGTTTGTGCCACAAAAGTGCCATACAATGACCATATCCAACAAGAGAGAACTGTAACTATTCCCTGAATGTCATTCCTTGACATTCAGTGGCATTACTGCCTCAGAATTCCCCACTGTGTCTTACCATTGAATACTTCTCAATTGCCTGGAAAAGTGAGCTCCAACACAAAGCAGTCCACTTGATACAGACCACATTCACATTCACTCCCTCCCTCCACAACCGACACTCAGTAGCAGCAGTGTATATCATCTACATGTTGCTCTGCAGAAATTCCCCAAAGCTCCTTAGCACCTTCCAAACCCACAACCACCACTATCTAGAAAGACAAAGGCAGCAGATATATAGGAACACCATCATCTGCATGTTCCCCTCCAAGCCTCTTGCCATCCTGACTTGGAAATATATCACCATTCCTTCCGTAATGCTGGGTGAAAATCTTGGAATTCCCTTCCTAACAACACTGTAGGTCTATCTACAACGCATGCACTCCAATGATTCAGGAAGGCAGCTCACTGCCATCTTCAAGGGCAACTAAGGATGGGCAATAAATACTGGCACAACCAGTGATGTCCAAATCCCATGTCATATACCAGCGAGTAGTCTGGTGAATCTCTGTTGCATTCCCTCTATCACAAGTATACCCTCCCTCAGATAAGGAGATGAAATCTGCACATAATAATCCAGATGCAGCCCCATCGAAGTTCCATACAATTTCGGCAAGACATCTTTACTCCTGTATTTAATTCTGAATAAACACCAGCATACCATTTGGCTGCTTGCTGCTCTTGCATGCTCGCTTTTAGTGACCCATGCTATGGACACCCAATCTCTTTGGACACAACCACTTCCCAATTTCACACCATTCAAGAAATACTTTTTTTTTTTCCTACCTTAGTGGATAATCTCTCACTCATTCACATTATATTCCACCTGCCCTGTTCATGCCCATACATGGCCTGTCCAAATCCCCTTGCAGCCTCCTTGGATCCACCTCACAACTCCAATTTCCATTTAGTTTTGTGTCATCAGCCAACTTGAAAATACAACATATGGTACTCACATCCAAATCATTAATATAGATTACTAACAGTTGTGATGCAATCACTCATCTTTATAGTACCTCCATGACTAAAAGCCTGCCATTTTCAGAATACTCATTTTTTCCTGTTTGTTAACCAATTTGTAATCTATAGCAGTATTTACTCCCCAGTCCCATCTGCTTGAATTTTGTTTACTAACCTCCTGTGTGGGATTTATTGAAAATCTTCTGAAAATCCCAACACATTCCTGGTTCTCCTTTATCTACAAATAAAACCCTCATCATTTCTATTATATTCAAGTAAGCTTTTCAACAGGGTGATGATAAATAGTGGTGAATGTGTTAGTACAGAGCAAGGAGCAAGCTTCCAATTATGATAGTTCAGAACAAGCACTACGCATTTCCAAAGAAATAAACATGACTGATTACCAAAATGTCTCCCCGAGTGTCGTGTAGGCAATGCAGAGCTAATTCCAAATTGGTACCTCCTCCAGGCAGCACACTCGAACAAGCTAAATTCAACAGGTCTGTCACTGCAGAAAAGTTGGTTGGAGAAGAATCACTACAAGGAACTGAGCAATTTGAGTAGCATAGTGAAACAGCATGATCTGTAATTTCTTCCCTCTTCAACCTCTACCAAAAGATGCCAACTTCAACATCTATGAATACATTTACACCCTTTAACGAATGATAACCAGGAGTGAGAATTGATTTTCCAATCCTCTAAAATCCAGCATACACAAAGGTATCCTTTGTGTAAACAGAACGGGACGACTGAAAACTTTTTTTGGGGGTTGTCTGGCCTGTTGAGTGGAAAGGGTTATCTGGCCATCAGTGTGAAAAGGCATCAGATGAACCTTCCCACATCTTTCCCATTCCTGCTACCAGTCACATTTTAGATGTTCCCCAAAATCACATGAATGGGATGCAACGTTAAAATTCAGCCCATGGTTTTAAAAATCGAAATACCCTAGAACATCTTGAAATAGGGGTGGGCGGGGGGAATAAAATTCAATTTTATAAAAATCCAGATATCTGAAGCAACTCAGAATTCACATTTCAAGTCTTAAACCAGATGGACAGAAGGTAAGTGAAGGACAAACAACAAACAGCAAGTTTTTTTTTAAACACCTTATTCTCTGCCATGGTCATGATGAGAGAAATTCACACCCTCTGAAAGGTTAAAAATTGCAAGAAAATTCTACAAGATGTTCCTTGGCATAAACTTACTAACTTTCAGTTTATCATTTGGGAACACAGAACTTGAATATTGAAAAATTGGTCAAAGCTTTTCATTTTATACTCATCACGACAATTCATAAGAATATCAAATTTTCCCTGTACATTGGTATTTCTTACAAACTGTACTGATAAAGTGCAAGATAAAAGGTTTTCACAAAATGTGACTTTTTCAGAAATAATTTGTTAAGTCATGATGTACTTACAGCTTGAGCTCCTCACATGACTACTTATTCGCAAAAGAATAACTGATAGTTAAAAATAAATCAAAACTTTCTGACCTACAGCAATACAGGATAGGGTTTTCATATTTGTATCAAATAAGCTAACTACACCCAGCAGTGATTCAACAAATTAAGGCGCTATGCAGAAATATATGATCACATTTACTTATTCCAGAACTCTAGCTTCCTCAAGAAATTTTAAGAAAATACAAAACAATAATTTTCCAAAAGATAAAAGCCTCATAAACAAACTTACCTCTCGCCTGAGTGATTTTATTCATTTCAATGTCATCCCATGGTTTCCATACTAGATCTGCTGGGTGAACGCTATCATCAAGTAATGACTTGTCCTGCAGTAACGGAATCTCTGCCTGGAACCGTGTTCCAATGTTAATATGCCTAAAGAAAGTTACACATCAATAAATGACAATTATGCTGGATTTTAGAGGACAGGAAAATTGCTAATGTGACACCCCTGTTTAAAAAGGGAGTAAGGCAAAAGATTGAAAGTTACAGGTCGTGGGTAAGATTTTAGAGTCTATTGTGAAGGATGAGATTTCTGGATACTTGGAAGTGCACAGTAAAATAGGGCAAAGTCAGCATGGCTTCATCAAGGGGAGGTCATGCCTGACAAATATGTTAGAATTCTTTGAGGAGGTAACGAGCAGGTTAGATCAAGGAGAGTCAATGGATGTTACCTCCCTGGACTTCAAGACGACCTTTGGACAAGGTGCCGTACAGGAGACTGCTGAGTAAGATAAGGGCCCATGGTGTTACAGGCAAGGTGCTAGCATGGATAGAAGACTGGCTGTCTGGCAGAAAGCAGAGAATGGGGTTAAAAGGGTCTTTCTCAGGATGGCAGCCGGTGACAAGTGGTGTTCCACAAGGGTCAGAGTTGGGACCACAACTTTTCATTTTATACATTAATGATCTAGATGATGGAACCGAGGGCATTCTGGCTACTTTTGCAGAAGATACAAAGATCAATAGAGGGACAGGTAGAATTGAGGATGCGGGGAGACTGCAGAAGGATTTGGACAGGTTAGGAGAGTGGGCAAAGAAGTAGCAGATGGAGTACAACGTGGCAAAGTGTGAGGTCATGCACTTTGGTAAGAAGAATTAAAGCATGGACTATTTTCTAAATGGGGAGAAAATTCGGAAGTCTGAAGTGCAAAGAGACTTGGGTGTTCTAGTCCAGGATTCTCTCCAGGTAAACTTGCAGGTTGAATCAGTAGTCAGGAAGGCAAATGCAACTTTGGAATTTATTTTTGAGAGGACTTCAATACAATAGCAGGGGTGTACTTCTGAGGCTCAAAAAGGCTCTGGTCAGGCACATTTGGAGTACTGTGTGCAGTTTTGGGCCCCGTATCTCAGGAAAGATGTACTGGCCCTGGAGCAGGTTCAGAGGAGGTTCACGAGAATGTTCCCAGGAATGAAAAGCTTAACAATATGAGGGACATTTGAGGACTCTGGGTCTATACTCGATGGAGTTTAGAAGGATGAGGGGGATCTAACTGAAACTTACAGAATACTGAATGGCAGAATGAATGTTGGGAAGATGTTTCCATTGGTAAGAGAGACTAGGACCCGAGGGCACAGCCTTAGAGTAAATGGAAGACCTTTTAGAACGGAGATAAGGAGAAAGTTCTTCAGCCAGAGAGAGTGGTGAATCTATGGAATCACTACCACAGAAGGCTGCGGAGGCCAGGTCATTGAGTATATTTAAGATGGAGGTAGACAGGTTCTTGATTGACAAGGGGATCAAGGGTTCGGGGACAAAGTGGGAGAATGGGGTTGAGAAACTTATCAGCCGTGATTGAATGGCGGAGCAGACTCAATGGGCTGAATGGCCTAATTTCTGCTCTTATGTCTTATGATCTTATGATCACAAGGGAATGAAATGGCCAATTTATGAGAATGGGAAACTCTCAATCCTTCATGCACAAAGATCCTAAACTCAACTGGTTTGCCTTTGAGAAGCAAGCAAATGAATCTCAGAACATGTTACTAAGGTTAGTATTTTGTTTTCCTCTCCCACTAATTAAAGGGCACGACAATGGCTGTGGTAGTAAGGTGGCTGTGTCAGTAGATTTATTGTCCAGAGGCCTGAATTAATGATCTGCTAAAATAAATTTAAATCCACATGGCTGTTGAGGAATTTAACTTCTGTTATGAAATTAATCTGCAATAAAGGCTGATGTGAAACTATTGATCTTTCATAAAAATCCATCACCAAAGTCTACTGAAAGGAAGTCTGCCATCGGGACCTGACTGGCTTAGGTCCAACTCTACACTTACAGATTTGCATTTGACTCTGATATAGACTTGCTAGCCATTTAGATGCACTGGCATAGGAGGCATGTAACCGTTGAGCATGTTCTGCCATTCAGTAAGATCATGCTTAGTCTGCCACCTAATTTTCCATATTCATTTTGTCCTATATCCTTACGGATCTAGCATCAGTTGTCATTGTGGAAACAGTGCAAAACTTTTACCACTGTAAAGACTACTTTTTATTGGACTTACAAATGGGAAAAGATACTGTTTTAAACCAAGGGATGTAGAAGACTATGTTGCCATTTTAAAGGGAATTTACTGGAACTCATTGTAATTTGTGCATATAATCTTGCTTCACTGGGGGCAATTTTTATCCAGTGACCGACTTCTTACTGGCTTTTCAGCCAGGACCAATTGTGGCTATTCAGAAGTGTTCACCACAGTAACAATTTCTCGATTGGTTAAATAATTGCATTATATATTAATGATTTAGAAGACGGTACTATCTCCAAGTTTGCAGGCAACACAAAGCTGGGTGGGAGGGTGAGCTGTGAGGAGGATGCAAAGATGACTCAATCTGATTTGGACAAGTTGAGTGAGTGGACAGATGACGTATAATGTGGATAAATGTGAGGTTATTTACTTTGGCAACAAAAAAAACACATAAAAGCAGGTTATCATAATGGTGATAGATTAGAAAAGAGACAGGTGCAACAAAAACTGGATGCCCGTGTCCACCAGGTGCTGAAAGTAAGCATGCAAGCAGTGAAGGTGGCAAATGGAATGTTGGCCTTTATAGCAAGAGGATTTAAGTACAGGAGCAGAGTTGTCTTACTGCAATTGTACAGGACCTTGTTGAGACCCCCAGGAGTACTGTGTGTAGTTTTGGTCTCCTTATCTGAGGAAGGATGTTCTAGCTTTGGATTGAGTGCAATGAAGGTTTGCCAGACTGATCCCTGGCATCGTAGGACTGACGAATGGAAAGAGACTGGTTCGGTTAGGATTGTAATCACTGGAATTTAGAAGAATGAGGGGTAATCTCAGAAGCCTATAAAATTATAACCTATATACTAGATAGGGTAAATGTAGGCAGGATGTTCCCAATGACTGAGGAGTAGACCAGGGGTCACAGTCTAAGGATATGGGGTAAACCATTAAGGACCGAGATGAGAAGAAAATTTCTTCACCCAGAAGGTGGGGGTGATGCTGTGGAATTCTCTGCCATAGAAAGCAGTGAGGCCAAAACAGTGATTGTTTTCATGAAGGAGTTAAATATAGTTCTCAGGGCTAAAGGGATCAAAGGGTATGGTGAGAAAGCAGGACCAAGGAACTGAGTTGAATGATCATACTTAACGGGAGCAGACTCAAAAAGACTGAAGGGTCTACTCCTGCTCCTATTTACTGTGTTTCCTGGGTGAGTGGCTACAGCTGTGTGTTTGGACAACACAGCAGAAATATCCAGCCTAGTGAAGGAGAAAACGTCACGCTTTCTCCCGCTTCTATAAGTGGAAAAGTAAATCAAACATGTAAAGTAGCTAGCTACACTTCCTGTAAATTCTCTTCCTGAAAGGAAAAGGGAAAACCAGCTCAGAGACAGTGAAAAGGCAAATTCTCAAATGGTTGAGAATTAGAATGTCTACAGCCTCACGTACTACTTAAAGAGTCGAAAGGATCCAGAAGGAAACTGACAAAACACATCTCATCAACGTCCGTAATCTGGACTGGTGCCAGATTGATGCTTCATCGATTTGTTTCTGTTCCTTCTTCACTTGTAATATTTGCGTCTTGTCTTGTGTCTGTGTCTGTCTGTTTCTGAGAGTATGGGAATTTTTAAGAAAGGGCTAAAGAAATTGAGTTACAGAGTTAAATGGTAGTCACCTTTTTCAAGCATTGATGAAAATAAACTGCTTCCAATAAATATCTGTTTTCTTACTAAGTACAAAAACCTGATGAGTGTTTTCTTTTAACCTGGGTTTTCTGAGTCAGATAAATTGGAGACTTTGGGTAGTTTGATTACATCTTTTCACGATTGTGATGACTTTGGGAATAGGGGGCTTGATTTCCAATGCACTATCCCTGTGAGTCGTGACACGAACTGTCCATGTTTCTTAATTTCGCTGCTGGAGAGCCAGCCCTAATTTTAAAACTATGTCCTCTTAATCCTAGCCTGATGATTCGGCATCACCTCCTGAAGGACAATTTGGGAGGAACAGTAAATTCTGATGTCAATGATGCCAATATCTGATAAATGAGTAACAAAATGACTACTTATCTGTGCAAATTAGGGTAGCGTATGTTAGTGATGAACTGAGCACAGGTAGTAGGAAATCACTCCTGAGCTTGATCATCCAGTGAATGCAAACACCCTTACCCATTGTGTACAAACACATTTTCTAACCAAGGTCAATATACTGTATAATCAATTGATGGAAGGTGGAACACTTTTTGATAGGAGCCAATATTTTACAACATCTCTGCTAGTGTTTAACACTAAGCAAAAAAAAACAAAGTCTTCACTCCAAAGACACAAATCAAAATAAGGTTGCCAGTTCATCTTCTGGATAGCCAATGCTGATAAAGTAGTCTGAAATTGAATAACTAACTTACGGTTCTATAGTGACTATAGAGTCATCTTTAACCACAGAGATACCACAAATTCCATCTACGCCATCTGTAAAGCACAGAATTATTTCTAAAAAATCATAGAAAGTTTAAATGTATACACAGACATACACACACATACTCATCACTATTATCCAAAAATGTCAAAAGTCTGGGCCCAGTCTTTTGCTACCTAGATGGGGGTAGCTTGGAGTTGGGAAATTTCCTGGCTTGCAGTGCCAGCCTTAGGTAGTAAAAAGCTCAATTGTTGCAATTTTTGTTTTGACATGGGAGAATCAAGTCTACAAGAAGTAAAAGCAAAAGTATGCCATTCAGCACATTGAGTCAGCTGTCATTGCACTCAATGACACAGCCTCGCAAAGCTTTCTGCGGAAAAGAATTCCACAGATTCACTATCCTTAGAAAAGAAACTCCTCCTCATCTGTCTAAAACAGGCGACCTCATACTCTAAGATTACGCCCACTGGTCCTAGACTCTCCCACAAGGGGAAACTGCACCGCTATCCTATCAAGCCCCCTAAGAATCTTTCATATTTCAATAAGGTCTCCTCTCATTTTTCTAAAGTCCAATGAGCACAAGCCCCTCAGAAGAAAATCTTTTCAAATCCAGAATCAGCATAGTGAACCTTCTCTTGACTGCCTGTTATGCCAGTATATCTATCTTTAGATAAGGGGACCAAAACTGTTCACAGTATTCCAGCTGTGGTCTAACTAGTGACTTGCACAGTTTTAGTAAGACCTCCCTATTTATATATTCCATTCCCTGTGAATTAAAGGCCAACAGTCTATCTGCCTTTCCCATTACCGCCGAATATGGATGCTAGCATTTTATGATTCACGTACAAGGACACCTAAATTTGTTTTTCTGCAGTCTTTCCCTATTTAAGCAATATATAACTACGCCAAAGAAAATAACCATACACTTCTCGTATTATATTTGCCCTTTCATTCAATCTGCCTATACCCTCTGTAGACTATGTCATCCTCACTACTTGCCTTCCCACCTATTCTCATTTCATCTGTAAAATTAGGCAGGTAAATTCACTGCCCTCATCCAAGTCATTAACATATATTGTAAATAACTGTAGCCCCAGCACTGATCCTTGCGATACTGTGCCAGTTACAGTGTGTTGCAAAGTAAAGTTCCCTCCATCTTGCCCCAAAAGTGACTCAGCCCTAACATTATTAAACGTCCACCTCCTCACCCAGAACCATCACTACCAGTGCAACATTAGTTCATTTCTTACACAGGACATCATGTAGCTTCTTGGATGGACAGCCAGCTTAGTGTTGACCTCTGTCAGTCCTACATCTGACTAGGCTTAGTAGGAATTGAAGTGAGCGTGCAAAGATTAATTCCATTTAGCGCACTTAATTAGCATCAATATAAAACCAGAGATACGACATGGCACAAAGCTGCTTGTAATCTGTTGATAATTAACAGAAAATTGTACTCATAAATTATGGATAATGATAATGTCCCACTGGGGGCAGTAGGGGGTGTTGCCATGTTGGGCTAAAATAACTGAGTGATAAAACAGAGGGCATTATACGCAGTCCTTAACCTGTCCTACACCTAACATGAAATGTTAAAAGTGGACCATGGATACCTGATGTGTTCCATTCCCAGTACACTCTCTCTCACATAATATTTCTAAAATGAATTTAAAAGGTGTAACTTTTTTTTACAATAATACTTTGGACTGTTTTTATTTTCTTCAATAGGTTAATAGAATATCTGAAACCACATTATGTAAAAGTAATTTGTGCCTTATTTTAAAATGGTTAACACTTAAGACATTCCTCATTAATTACAACAAATTAACTCAAAATTATATAAATTAATTTTACACAGAAGACTTAATAACACATGATCAACAAAACCTCTGTAAGGACATAATTGAAAAAAAAGTTTACCTACAACACTGCCCAGAATTCCTTTAGGAGCATATGTATTGTGTGGTACCTTGCTCCCAATCAAAGAACAGATCCTGTTGAAGTAAAGTCCTGAGCCATGGCGGATGGGACTCAACATCGGGGGAGGTGTGTATGGTGGAGGTTGAAAGTTTTTCTCTAGAAGGTGATCTGCTAAGCAAACAGGGGAACGCATATGGCTCTGGTACAGCACCATCCCTGGCAGCACCCCAGTCTGATTTGATGCTGGTGATGGGATAAAGAGAGGCTCTGGACGAGATCGCTTCCTTCGTTGCTTTTTGGAGTGGCCCCTACAATTTACATTTGCCTGTTTGCCTGTTTCAGTGACCTGCAACATAGAATTCTTGAAAAAGTAACAGGCATTTGAAATTCTGAATCTCTGAAGTATTCATGTTAGTGCAACTGTCAGGAATGCTGACTGATGTCACTATAAAAACCTTACTGCATCACAACATAATTTCCTGTCTCATAAGAGAAGAGAAATTAAGGGTTTTACAGTGATAAAACACCTGTTTCATAGGATTGTACCTATTACAATGTCTAAGTCACTGCGAAAAACTACAAATGCTGGCAAACTGAAACCAAAGCATAACCTCCCTTAACGGTTCCCATGAAAGGGTTACATTTCAGAAGGGACCTATAAACCAATGACTTGCTACTCACGTCCAGCTTCTTCTATATTCTCTTGAATTAAGTGCTGCTTGGGTAGACACTCAAATCAATTAGTATGACTACAGCATCTACAATCAGACATTACAAGACCATTCTCACCTGGGCAGAGGTGTCATTTGAGGACACCATTAAATCAGTCAATCTTGTTGTGACCGATTTCCTTGGTGTAACTGGTGAATTTTCAGATTTAACAGGTTTGCCATCTTTCTTAGAACCAGCAGATTTTACAGGCACTGACACTGGAATCACTAAAGGCATGGCCACATTTTCCTCAAGTGGCTTCTTTAGCAGAAGAGCACTGAGTTTATCCTCCAGATATTGAAAGAACAATCCACCATGTTCCATTTTCTCAATTCCATTATCAGTCACCTAAAATTAAAATTACAAAACAGTATTTGTCAAATTTCTTAGAAATAACCCATTAAAATGTTCCAAGTTGTGTGTGTGTGTTTCTGTGTGCATACACACGCGTTTGTTTGTACAATTTTCTAAAAGATTGATTCACAAGAGTTAGGTGCCCACAGACTTTCCGTCCCTAACTGTCCTCTAGAGGTGTTCGTCAGCTACTTTCTTGAACCGCTGCTGTGTTCAAGTGACTTTTTAAAACAGTGATCTGATAATACTCAGGAGGCTTGCTAGCCCATTTCAGAGGCCAGGCAAAAGTCAATCACATAGCAGAGTGTCTGGTGAAATAGAGGCCAGCTCAGTAAGAACAGCAGATTTCCATTCCCAAAGGACAGAGCAAACCAGATTTTTTATCTAATGATAATACAGTAAATACAGGGGTGCCATTACTAATTAAGGAGACATGGGATTCTGATTCTGGCTTTTCTATTAAAATTTCCCAGATCTTTGGTTGGATTTCAACTGGTGTTTCAAAAATTCAAGCTTAGTCCAGGCCCCTAAAGTACCCGTTCAGTAACATATGCATTATGCTACTATATTTCCAATATATCTAATACACATAATATTTCAAATTAGTGTACTAATCAAACAGGCCAAAAATTCCTCAGCAGTTTCCCACCTCAATTTGTGGAATCAAATGATAATTGCAAAGATCGTCAAAAGATCAAAAGCATTGTAAAGGGTTAAACCTCAAACCAGAGAATCCATAAAGCTCAGATCACTGCATGAGGGAACACCACCACCTTCAAGTTCCTTGCCAGGCCACTCAGCATCCCAACTTGGAAATAAATCACTGCTCCTTCTCTGTTTGCTGGGTCAAAATGGCATTGTCAGTCAACCCACAGAACATGGACTGCAACGTTCAAGAAGGCAGCTCACCACCACCTTCTCAAGGCCAAGTAGGGACAGGCAGTAAATGCTGGCCAGCCAGCAATGCCTACATCCAAGAAATAAACAGAAAGAAGTTCAGCTGCACAAGCTTCCCAGAGGGGAAATGTGGTCCCCAGTAACAAAAGTCAAAGTGTTTTTATTTGCACAGGGTGGGGGTGAGATCCACTAACCAGTTGGGTTTTTAAAATGACAATCTGGTAAACATTCATGGGCATGTTTTCCTGTTACCAAGTTTTCCCTTGGTGAAACTCTCAATCATCTCTATCCAGTATCTATTATGCTATCATATCAATGTATTGTGCTTCTTATGACTAACTGACAACAGCCATTGCTCATTCAACAGTAATTCTGTGACACAATCACAACTGCACTCTCTCTCTTCGAAAATCAAGAGGTCTTCAGAAGTTTCCGGCAGCTAGAGGTCCACATATTTATACCTACAGCAACACTTATGCACAGAGGGTAATTTGCTTCATCGTGACTTTGCAAAGAAGGTGTATAATTTTCCTAACCTTTTGTGTCTTAATGCCGTCTTCCAATGAAAGCTGTTTTCCCATTCCTTCTCGTGGACAAGTGTGGCAGTTTAATCCTTTTAGAAAATGGAAAACACCTTGACATCTCTCACACCTGAAGTTTTCTTCATTTTCATCCAAATTATGGGAAGTGCTGCTACTCATCAAGTCCCTGCTGTCAAATGAAGATTAAAGTCAAATCAAGTTTAAACAAACTCTTTAACACCGGAAGCCCCAAATACAAAGTTTGAAATGCACAAGTCAATCAGCAGTTATGCTTAGTTGCCCTACTTTCCATATTTTAAATCTAGATTTTCTCAGTCTGTTTGTCAACTTTGTTGCTTTCTGTACAAATTCTGAGGGTTAGAACAAATGGAATAGTGCTGGGATCTTTCCGAACCAGTGCCTTTAAATGTTGTTGCTACATTCAAGGCACATGTTAAAAAATCCTGAGTTTGCAGCATGTAATGCATCCCTCACATGTTGAATATTTTACATTCTTCGCTGCATTCCTTTATGTTCCATTCTCACCATATAACATTTCTGACTATAGGACAAGAAGGATGATTTGCTTCCAAGTCCCTGACTATATGTCTGACAGACAATCCCTTGGAGAATCAACTGCACTTCACTCATAAACATCAGACTGATCACAGTAAAATGAACAATTCATTATCTAGGGACATGGGTGGAAACTTGCATCCACGACTAAATAGTACTAAACTCTCCCTCGCCCAAAATTAATGGAACCAAGATCGAAAGAAGATGTTCAGCCTCTCTACATGTCTTTTGCAAAAGGAAAATTTCATACCACAGAACTGATGATGATCCATCTCCCTCTAGTGGCATGCTGGAAAGACTGTAAATATCTTCATCCTGAAAAGTCAAAGGTCATTACAAACAAGACAACAAGGGGGTTATAAAAGCTCTATAGGCTGGAATGTTTCAGATCTAGGTTATGCAGGAAGTATGATAAAAAGAAGTTTACGTTGCTGAACCTCAAATGCTGCCCTGATATTTTATGTTATATGAATAAATATTTAAGATTTCAAGGTACTGTTTATGATCCCATAAAAGATGAGAGATTAGCACATTTCTGCCCATCTAGAGCCACCTGTACTATACCCTGCACAGAATATCTTGAGAATTCTTTATTTTTTCACTTTCTGTATGGTTGACTTCAAAGCACAGTGTCCCTGCATGGTTTCCCTTCAGACAGCTGACAATCTTTTGGAGTTGGAGCTGTGGACGGCTGAAAACATGGCAAAATTTAAAGGAAGCCCCTGTGAGCATGTTAATATTTTAATGGGCTCCCTAAAGGCTTCAAAATTGTCACAAAACATATTCTGCACTTAAGATTTAAACAAAAAGGAATGCATTTTATAATGTAATTTTAAGCATGAACACATTATGGGTTTGCTCTGACAGCGTCTGTCTGTTGTCAGTTTTCACACAGGAGAATATTCAACTTGCCTGAAAGGGACAATGAGTCAAAGGCCAATCATTGCATGCCCTTTTAGGATGGTCTGAGTATTAGTTTCTACACATCCCAGTCAAAGACTCCAACCCACAAAGTTATTACAAATTTTCTTTAGAAACACAATCTGGTTAGAACCCAAGACCTGCAATTTAATTTGTGGTCCAGATTCAGAGCAGATTTGGCTCTGTTTGCTCAGCTTCACTTGCCCTTGCATTTTACAAGTCTTAACTTGAATCTTCTCATGGACATGAACTGGAGTTGCTTTTGTCTGGCCATTTGTATGTGCCCTAGCTCTTCTGCAATTGCAATGTGTTGTTCCATTGGCAGGAATTTGCTGCTGTGTGCTTTTGAAAGCTGGAATAAAGCATATTCATAGTGGCACACATTCACCAGTAACAGTTGTAAAACTACCTAGCTGGGGAGATCAGCTTTTATTTTTGTGCAGGCATTTTTCAGTACCATTATTCCTTCCTTTGGTTCAGATCAATTTGCTTCTTTCTCTCTGTACTGGTGCCATTCTAGACACTTCACCCAAGAAAGGCTGCCCTATTGACCCCGCCACAGAAAAAAAAACGGAAAATGTCCTATTCCAAACTTTGTCACCACAGCAGTGCCTATATGGTTTTGCTCTCGCCCAGGATACACAACTCCCAGACCTGTGTACTCCCAAAAGCTGAAGAAAGTTGTATTGGAACCTGCAAACATGAGGCAGAAGAAGAAATAGTGGGAAGTGCCCTTGACTGCATCAGCATTGCAGAGGTACCTCATAACAGCACTGTGCCCGTAAGCAACCACTGCCAGCATTTTCCCATGGTTGGCAGTCAACATCGCCTCAAATGCTACAAAATCTCCCAGTGTCATGTTGAGTTCATGCACTGTTCCGTCGGGGGCAGGGGTGGGTACTAAACCAGATCTTAAGTCTACTTACTTCCTACTCATCTGGGGAAACATTGGAGTGCTGCAATTGTCCTGGATTAGGAAGAGAAAATATCAGCCTAAATTCATGTTCCTGTCCAGGAGAAAAGAAAGACAGGCTCAAATGTGATGATATCACAACTAAAATGCCTGTCAATATTCTCTGTTAAGAATTACTCAGAAACCTGAACACTTGTGACTGGGCAGCTACAACCAACTGTAGAACCGCACTGTAACAAGGGTCAGTGCTTTTAGAGACATGAAAAAAAAGACGTGGAGAAATGGAAAGCCTGAAGAGAAATTAAGGTAATTACCTGTACACTAGCATGAAAAGATGCTTTCTGAAGACAGTCTTCCACATTCCTCGTCAAAGAATTCTGAACAGAAAAGGAGTTCATAGCCACCTGACTAGGAGGAGCAGTGCAATTGGGATCTAACTTCTGTCGTTCCTTTCGAGAAACTGACACACCTTTACTGGATTTACCTGCAATATTGTAATGCTTTACACACACATCTTTATTAGAGATTCTGCCTCTTTTGTTGCTACAGGGTGGAAGTGACCAACCTTCCAACTGCTCTGACTGTAACTGAAGCTGATTCTGAACAACTTCTTCTTCACACACTGACTGAAGAGAATGTTGTCCTTTGAATGGACTCTTCTTGGATTTCTTGTGACATTCTGAGATTCCCCTTAATGCAGGCTGTAAATCAGTCCCTGTCTGCTGCTCTGTACATTCTGTTTCTTGTGGATAGCAAGAGAGAATGTTCTTGGAGAGTTGGCACTGTTTCGTTGCTTGAAACTGTAAAAATGGAGAAGTGGCTTCCTGTCTCAAGGAATGCTGGAAGTCTTGTACTAGTTCTGAGGGATGATGAGATTGAGTTCCATTATTCTGGATCTGGGATGGAATTTTCTGGGCAATTACATGTTGGGACTGGGTAACTAGCACCTGTGACTGGCTTACCGAGTTTTGAGATTGAGACAGATTGTATTGAGTATCAGAGATCAGCTGGAGCATATGGTTTTGAAATTGATCTTGGTTTTGCATTGGAGAGGCCTCCTGATCTCCCATGTAGACCTGTGTAAACAGTGAAGTTGCTATCTGCTGTTGATGTTGCTGGTGCAGAGAATACTGTTCCTGCAGTATTTGACGTTTCTGTTCAGGAAAGGCTTGCCACTGATTCAAATTTGTTTTGTAACTCAAAAGTTGTCTGAAGACATTTCCACAAGCATCAAATTCAGATAGTGCTGGGTTTTCACTCTGATTCTTTGCAACAGAGGAATTTGACTGAATATCCAAATTCTGTCGTGTAAAGGCTTGAGCAAATGAGTCCAGCTTATGCAAAGCACCACTTGAAAAGGTGGCAGAAACTTCTTCAGGAGGCTGGGAATTGGGGACAATATAAGAATAGCTTCCTTTGCTGCCGCTGTACGTTGCCAAGTTGTTGGTCCACACAAGATCTTGACTTGATTGTTGTCTGCTGGATCCAGTTTCATTTCTTGATAATGTATGATTTGTGCTCACATCTTGTGGCCAACTTGCTGGTCTTGATGACTCCAAAGTATACTGTGCAGGTTGCGAAGGTCTACCAGGAATCACTGAATCTAAAACATAAGAGTCTAGACTTTCTACACAAGAGACACTGGGATCTGCTACAGAAAAATGAGAAGGATTTACTCTGTTGTATGGGTCAGTTATGTTACAGTTTAAACCAGAAGAATGCTCTCTTTGCATTATGCCAAATTTGGCCTGTCTAACAGCGCCTGACCTTTCTGACAAACAAATATTTGGGCTAGTAAGCACACTTGCTGTGGCATGGCTTTGTGTGGGATAGTGCAATGTAATTTTGCTTCCACTAGCACCAGTTTCACATGGTACTTTTTGGCTTACACTGCTCATTAGGGGCCTCAGCATTTCTCGGTTAGGCAGACAGGATCTTTGAGAAAGAGACTCAACCTGTGTTGTCGGCCTCTGTGCCATTCCCACTTCACATTGAAGGGTCTGAGTTTGTCCGCTCTGGGAGTACAGCATGCCCTCTGTTGAGTCCACTTCTTTGCTGCTGTTGTCAGCAAAGGGTTCCCTCTGACAATACAAGCCATGCTGGACTTCATAGTGACGTCGCAAGGACCGGGAGTCACAATAGCTCTTGTCGCATCCATGTTCCATACAAACATAAGGTTTATTTTTTTGGTGAGTTAACAAATGCCCAGATCTAAGGAGAGAATGCAGAATAAAATGCTTCATTAAGTTCATCTAATAAAATTTTGCTCCTAACATTTATTAAATAATAGGATATTGCTCTGCAATGTCATCATCAATCGTCATGGAACTGACCTGTATTAATTATAAATAATAATTTGACAGATGATTGGAAAACAATCACATGTACCTACTTAACTCTTCCTTCTCTTTGTATTCTTTGATGAAATTAGCATAAACCTGCATCTAGTTTCTCACCGACGTTGCCTCATTCATTCACCAAGCTCAGCTATGAGAAAACCTTGCAGCATCTTTGACCCCATTCTTGAAAAATTCTTATAACTTGTGGATTTCAATTATGGGCCTCACCAACAAGTGTAAGCGATCATATATTTTTCTTTTTTGAATCTCAAGCCGAAGTGGAAGTCAGACACTGCTGTATTGCTAAAATACCAGGAGAGTTTTAAAATTTATCTGTGCAAGACAATGTTGCTCTTGGATGCAGTGAGATTATTATTTGAGACTGAGTGGTACCAAGTGTCTGTGTTTACTCTGTCTACACATTTTTATTCCCACTAACAACATCTGTTACACTGTATTTCTTTTGTCTGCCTTAGTTGTGATTGTGGGTGTCTTATTTGCAGTTTTTCAAAGGGTACAGTTTAAATTATATAGTCACAGATTAGGAATCTTTTCTCCATCATTTGTTAAAGAGAAGTGTGTTACAGTAAACAGTTATTTCATGTTTCTGACAAAACCCATGTCAACTGTCTTCATCCTGAATAGCAGTCAGTTAGACATGTTGATCATCTTGATGGTTTAATTGGGATTATATACATTTGGCTTGTGGAACAATCTGGAACCATTATCAGTGCTCTCTTCCCAGTTAAGTTGTGACATAAGCATCTCTAACCGAAAGTATCAAACAAATCTCAGGCAAAATTCTTTCTAGCCACTAGGACAAGGACTGTAATCCTTTCAATGTGACCTAAAATTATGCACAGATTCCAGAGGTTAAACGCATTGCTAACCTCATGTGCAGCTAACAACTGCAGGAGCAGTCAGTGGAATCAGTATGTATAGAAAGAAATCAATTTGTCTGGTCTCCACCGAGAATTTAAAGTCTTCGCTTATGATTGAGTAACTTAAAACTAATAATTTAAAACTAATAAACTTTAAGAAATATTCAATCAGTAAATGCTTGCCACTTAATATCAACAATTTAATTATCATCTCTCATAATGTTAATTAATACTAAATAATTTTAAAGAATCAAATCCTGTCTAACATTTTCTTCCAGGCAATTTGATATTTCAACACACATCAATAGATTTAACTTTGACTCATAGAAGAATGCAACACAGATGGATGCCACCTGGCCCATCATGCTTGTATCAGCTCTCTAAAAGAGCTTCTCAATTAGTCGCACATGCCCTGCTCTTTCCTCATGTATTTATTCAATTCCTTCTTGCAAATTACTATTGAAAACCTGCCACTCAAATATTAAGGAAACACTTCAGGTATGGGTAACGTCATTTTTAAATTTGGCACCTAGCCTGTAAGCTGGTAGTTTTTGGTACAACACCTTTCAGTCACTTTTGTTCTGTTTTTCAGGCCAATAACCCTCTTTCAACCAAGACCCGTAAATGCAAATTAGCTGACTGTTTATCTCATGCAGTAGTTTGTGGGATGCTGCTGGACAGGCACTGTCACCTTTACAGGACTGTAGCCTGTTAATTACATGAATACTGGGAATGCCTAATTTAATCCCAAATATCGAACTTGCATCTGACTTGCAATGAATAAAACAAGATCTGGCATTCCGTTTCATTCCAGGTGGACAAAGCAAATCTACTGTGTGTGAAAAATAACTAATAGAAATTCCTGAGTTACATAATGTTCACACACAAGTGGTCCTGTCTCTTAAAGGCCTTATTGCAGATCCTGCAGACATGCCGACGTTCGTGACTATGCGTCAGGTAGTGTTTGCTCAGGGCACTGGCACTGCTGAATGATTTTCCACATTGGCTACATTCCTAGAAAATAGAATATACAAATGAATTATCTATTTTTGCCTCAAATGGGTTTCAACATAAAGATAAAACAACTCTAACAGTTAATATTTACATTCCGACTGGTCTCCCTAATATATCCTACTCTTACAGAACAAACCAGAACTTACTATTTTTGACAAAACTGGTTTGTGTTCTCGGGCTTTTTTTTAAAAAAAGCTAAGTCAAGTATACTGTAGATTAAAGACTTCTTGGCACAAATTTTTTTTAGGGCTCTAAAACCAGACTAACCAGAAGAACAACAGTTGCAGCGCTAACCTGAAATGCTTGCTGCGGAGAATGCCTTGCGGAGAGACGCCTTCTCTTCTGCAGCCCTCCGTATTTCACTTCACTTTTACCTCCACTTTTCTCAGGGCTATTTTTTTGAGGGAGAGGACTAATACCTGTAACAAAAAAGTCAATAGGAAAAACCAGCAATATTTCAGCCTTACAAACCTCTGAGATCTCTCTGCCCTTCCAATTCTAGCCATTGGAGTATCTCTGATTTTAAACACCATGACTGGAAGGCATATCTTCAGCTGCCAATACCCTATGTTCTGTAATATCCTCCTTAAACCCCTCTGCTTTACTCTCCTAAGACTTTCCTTAAGCTCTACCTCTTTGACCAAGACTTTGGTCATTTGTCCTAAATAATGGCATGCAGTGGCATCAAATTCAGCTTTTCGTTATGCTCTCACAAAGTGCTTTTGGGTATGTTACTACACAGATGCTATGAAATTATAAATTGTTGTGTAGACATCAGTTGGGGGGGGGGGGGGGGGAGGGGAGAGCAGAATGGGGCTCAGCTATAATGCTGACCAGAAAAAAAGCTGCTGACAACCACTAGTTAGGATTTGTACAGATGTGGTATCACAAGGTAACTTCCACTACTGGAACTGAATCTTAGACATTCGAAAAGAGACACGGAGGCAAATAAAAAGAGTATATACAGGAAAAACATTGGCATTCTAAATATAAAAACAAAATCCATTTGCATAGCATTTGATTATTCTGTAACAAAACTGATTTCCATGAAGCATTTAGCAGTCTTGGTATAAGTGTATCACAAGATCCTTGTTAGCTGCTTTTATAACAAAAACACATAAATCAAAAAGGTAACCTTTGCAGCACTACCATTCAGATAATAGAACAAATGAATAAATATCAACATAGTGGGAGCCAGACAGAAAGCTGACCTACCCATGCTAAAGGTCTACTTGAATATTTGGGAGTAACAGACTCTCTTACCGACCATACTAATTTTTGATTTCTGGTCTACAATTCTGACAGCCACAATTGTGAGTGTCTTTCTGAGCAAGACTAAATAAGGACAGAAAAATAACACAGTACAGTAGATAGCACACAAAGTTGTTTCTTCTAGGTAGTAGATACTACAGTGTGTTTATAATGGACTAAGTCAGTTGGAATGCCTTACCAGAGGGGAAAAGATAAAACTGGTGAATGCGACATATTGATCCAACTCATCTGGTATACTTTAAAACGGAGGACCAATACGTACATTTCCAAGCATTCCTGAGCTTCATTTCAGAGTCAAAGAACAAACTAGCCTTCTTTGGGTATATATCCATGCTTAAAAAATAACTATTCAACATCTATAACATAAAACTTATATGCTTTCCTCAAAGATTATCTGATTTCCTGTCACAATCTCAGCAGAAACCCTGGAAATTAGCTTCCATGGCTGTTTCTACCATTTCTCAGTAGCTTCTGCCAAGTGTGACAGGGAGATGGCTCGGAAAATACGCAGAGATTAGAGATTCCTTTTTATTTCCTAGCAGTCTTGTCTGCTCTTCTGAAAGATAGGATTTATGGTGAAATACAGTTGCAGCCCTCTGTTATTGTGTGCGTGTAAGACTAAGCACGAAAGTAATCAGGCTATTCAAGTGAGGAGGGAATGACATGCACAATCTGATCCTCCTTGCATACACCATTCACAATTTTTTTTCTAACCAGTGGGATTTGTTAAATCAGAATTAAGAACACTGGAAGATTTTCTATTTCCTAGCCAGGGAGGCTTAGGCCAACTGTAGTGCCCACTGTTGCTCTGGCTATCTTAGCACTAACAACTGTGGATCTGAACAGCCTGACATGTTATTAGGCAGTTTCATCACCAAAGAGGCCATCAGGAAAGTTAATACAAATTTTAATAAAATCTTATCGGAACTGTAAAAGTTCGGTGTTAGTAAGTAATTTTCACTGGGCATTTATTTTGAACCAGCAGGAAATCAAGTTTATCCCAGCAGCAAATAGTTATAAGAGCACTGCTGTGCTTTAAAAAAAATGCATGCACATTCAAGTACCTAGCAACATGGGTGGAGAATCTGTGTCCGTGGAGTCACTGGGAATCTTTGGGGAGTCACATCCCTTATCTACAGTACACAGGGATAGATCTACATTGTCAGCAAATGGATCGCCAGGAATTTCTGCAGTCTCCAGGTTAGAATCAAGGTCTATACTTGTCATTCCTGCATAAATAATATCATCAGGGTCTGGGATGAATTCTTGTCTCTGGATATTACTTGCAATGGGCAACTCACTGTCTGATAGCAAAGGCAGATGCATTTCGGTTTGGAGAGAGCTTTCGTCGCTGAAACTGTAGCAATCCATAGCTCCTGATTTGGGAATATCCTTCTGTAGAATTAAACAGCAGTCAACTAATTTTCACAGCATGAACCTATGAAAAAGCATCCTCTTCTTTACTCTGTGTATTGCTGCAGCTTTAATAAAATAGAAACAAAAAAAGTTTAGAGACAAATTCAATTTACAGGAAGTTGGTAACCAGTAAAGGTGTAATTATACAGAATTAATTTTCTAGTTTTTTACTACAACCTTCTATTTAAGTTTCTCCAGACCATGCATTATTCTCCAACAGAAACTATTGCAAGAGGTCAGCAAGGAGTAGATTTTTTTTTAGTCGAAAGTGGTGGGAGAGGGAAGCAGATGATTCGCCCTCCATTTTCTTTTTCCCTGTCCAAGCAGAAAACTGCCATACCTTCATTTGGCAACTCCTTTAAACAGGTGAAATTAGCAAAAAAAAACTGGGTGAAGAATTGCACCTACAACTTCACACCCTGAAATACGGCGGAGAAAACCCTAAACTCAAGATAAACAACTACTAAAATATATGCTACTATTATATACATGAATTAAAATGGCAATTTCAGCCAGTCATTTATTGTTTATATTATTGATTAAAATGCACAATCGAACACATATTTTGACAAAAATAAAGTTTGTAACCCGTTATATTTTAATACTGTCCCAATAATGAATTTCTGCTGTTGGCTCTGCCTGTAAGATGCTCAATGAAGGTCAGGGAATGGCAGAAAGTGAGGGATTTTAGAAGAATCGATTGAATTTCACGTTTCGTACAGAGAAATGTTCATAGTTACATCACAAACAGACACTGAATCAGTTTGCGGGGGGGGTGGGGGGGGGGGTGGAATGCCTAGTCAAAAAGGTGAGTTTTAAGAGTTCTCAAGAATGGAAAGCATTATGCAAAAGTTCACGAAAGGACTTCAGAGAAGGAAGGAAGATGACTTCAAGGCTCTGTGAGCAGGAGGTGCAGGAAAAGGAGCAGAGAAAGGTGAAGTCAAGAGAGCCAGTCGAAATTCTTGGTTTCTCTTTCGCCTATTCTGGAAAACAGCAGTGCACCTGGGGAAAAAGAAATCAAGTAAAATCCCACAGCAGGGAAGTTTTGTCTCAGAGAAATAAATATTAGCACACGACAATAAACAGCATCAATAAAGAGAGCAATTATCTGGTCATTATCTCATTGCTTTGTGGGCATTTGGTATATGCAAATTGGCTGCCAGTTTCTCTAAACTACAAGTGACTAGTGGTCAAAAGTTCTCAATTATCTGTAAAATATATAGCACTATATAAATGCAACTTTTTCAACAATCTATTAAGCAGAGATGTTAGTTTAATTAAATATAACTAATTTTCAAAATAAATGTTTACAAAGAAATCATAGAAGAAATAGACAAGTTTTAAAACAATACACTATCTTTCCTCGTTTACTTGAGGTGTTCTTTTACATCATCTCCATAATTTTAAATGCTTTTACTGAGCTATTTTTGCATGCTAACTTACGCTAGAGGGTGCTCTTGCCTTCAATCCATAACAATACCTTGTTTTAATTAACAGTTATGCTCTTGGAAATCACTACTTAAATCAAAGCAAGGTTTCCCATTTGATAACACAGTGCGGAGCTGGAGGAACACAGCAGGCCAGGCAGCATCAGAGGAGCAGGAAAGAAGGGTCCTGACCCAAAATGTCAACTGCCCGGCTCCTCTGATGCTGCCTGGCCTGCTGTGTTCCTCCAGCTCCACACT